AAAAAATATTAAAAAATTTTAGTTTTAATTTTTCAAGAAATTGAGTCTACTCGACTCAATCAAAATTCACGTAAGTGGATGATAAACTTATTCTATTTAACCTAAAATTCAAAATAATCCACTGGTAAATCCAAAATTTAAAGTAACCCAATCCAATCTATTTGTTGGGTCTACCTTGAGCACTTGAAAATGTCTGGACAAAAATCGTTGATGGAATTCACACAGCGTAAGGGACATGAGGTTTCGGCAAAAACCTATTTTTAAACTTTCACTTTATCAAATTTGAAGGTTTTAGCCTCTTACGTTATATTATAACACTTTTAACCCTTTACTTTACTAGATTTGTAGATTTTAACCCCTCACCTATTAAAATCGAAGAAAATAACCCTCATTTTATGCTAACTGTTAACTGAAAATAAGTTTTTATCAACTAGTAGTAAGTTTTTGTTAATTAATTGTCAACTAATAATCAGTTAACAGAATGAACGAAATATTATAAAATTAGTTCTATTAATTCTGTTAGTTAAAAAAATGTTTTTGTTAGCTAATAGTCAATTAACAGTCAATTAACAGTTAGTTAATAAAATTAACAGTCGACTAATAAAATTAACAAAATGTTACAAAGTGAGGGTTATTTCCTTCAATTTTAATAGGTGATGAGGTAAAAGTGTTATAGTATAAGGTAATATGCTAAAACTTACAAAATTAGTAAGATGAGGGGTTAAAAATATCATAATATAAAGTGAGGGACTAAAACCTTCAAATTTGGTAAGGTGAGAGTTAAAGTAGGCTTTTGCCTATCTTAGAAGTGAAGGCAGAAAGTCCCTCGTGTAATAGCAAGCAAGCTACCGACCAGCAATAAAATGGTTAAACCCCCAACTTCATCCTTCAATTATTGTATAGACCCAGAGTTAGTCCTTAAACTAAAGAACTCTCAAATTTGATCCCTAATATTTTTAAATTTTATCCCGATTTAATGTCTCTATTAAAAATTTGTTGATATGTTCCATTATTTGATGGGAGAACGACAACACGTAAAAAGATTTATACACATAAGATTGACAACATGACCAAAATAATGACATGAGAAAAAAAAACTTTAAAATTTTCATTTTTTTCCTTTCTCTTTTCTCTTCCTCTCCTTCGCTTTTTACAAACCCTAATTTATTCGAATAATGATTATGATAAATGCAGACTCATATTTCATTCAAATCTATAACCCAAGAACAAGGATCAAATATAGTTAGCATAAATGAAATCAAAGGACAAAAAAAGGGTTTCTACTTAATTTTATAAATTTCACTTTAGCAAACAATAGATGACACATCAAACACAATTAAGATTGAACCCACAAGGGATTCTTACACTTGAATCTTGTAAATCAAAGATTATGGGTCTTCTTTTCTTAATTCAATGCATTTAAATTCAATAAATTGGAGAGATCTAATCAAGAATTACCTATTTGTTTCTAGCAAAGATAGAGTTCTACAAGCACTACAAATCAAGCTTGAAACTGTGACTCCTATGAGGTTTAGTTGAATTGAGCACCCTGTTCAATGGAAATCCAAGTAGGAAGGTATGAAGTCAATAGTGGGGGAGATTTGGGTTCTTTAATACAGGAATCTAGAAATGAGATCTATGACAAAATCAAGTTTAAACCGACAATTTTGAAGATTTTTTTCTATTTCTTTATTCAAATGAAAATTCAATCGATTAATTTCAAGCACATCAATCATTTCATATCCACATTCAACGACATATATGGTAATATTTAATATATATTAGATTTGAATATTTTTTAATAAATATTTCTTTTTATTAAATTTATCTTTTATGCCATTGTGTTTAATCGATTTTGCTTTTGTTGTCATTTAACAAGCCATGTCAGCAAAAACTTGATGGAAGGAGCAAAAAAGAGTCAAAAACTCAAATTTTGGAGACTAAATCAATGATTTTTTAAGTTAAAGGACTAAGTTAAGATTTGTACAATCGTTGATAGGTCAAATTAAAAATTTAATCTAATAAAATTTTTAAATAAATAACTTAAAAAAAAACTTTAATAAATACTCAATAGATTTTAAAAAATTATTAATAAATACTTAATGGACTTTAAAAAAATTATCAATAAGTATCGGAGAGACTCTTTAAAAAAATATCATATCCTTCTAATTGCATAACATTAAGTATCTTATCTTTCTAATTGTATAACATTAAAGTCTCTCAAATTATATAACATTAGGGCTACAATTATTTCTCATTTATATATAGATGGATGGAAAAAAGAAAAAAATATAGATAGTTGGAAGGGCAACCACCAAGAAGAGAAAAAGAAGACAAAAAAAAGAAAAAGAGAACCAAAAAGAGGACTATAATGACAATAGCCGGAGACAATTTCACTCATCATGTTTGTTTTTATTTCTAGGTATTTTTTTAGAGATTTTGTATTTAAATATGGCTAGATTTTATCTTTGAATTAAGGAAAATAATTTATGGATAATTTTTTTATATCACTTTTTATATAAGTTTATGTATCATTTAATGATTGATTCTTTTTATTTATTTGAGATTTATAATATTAAATATATCTACTCATTTAATAATATATAAAATTATATAAAAAAATTATACAAAAATTATCTCTATATCACTGCTTAAAATTCAATTCTCAACTTTTCTTTTTTAAACCAATAGTATTTGTCTCTACATTCAGTGAATTTTAACAAAGATTTGTACATCTGAAGTTTTAAAACAACAGGAGATGTATACCATCAGATGGAGTCTAACATGTATTTTGACAAGGTTAAATGCTTAATTTAGTCTCTTAACTTTAAGAAATGAACATTTTTGGTCCCTCAACAATTTTTTGCACTTTTTTGATCCCTCAATTATACGAAATGCACTCCGTTAGTCCTTCTGTTAATTTGGGCCGTTAACCCTGCTTAGGTGGTATTTTTTATATTTTTTTTGATGATGTAGAAGGCAAAACTTAAAAAAGTGATGACACGCGTGCAACTTTTGCCATCTCACATGCTACCTGGTGAAAATACACCAAATTCATCTAAATGGGTCTCACATCACTACTAACAATTGCTTCTTTGCCCATCCCTTATGAAGTTCGACGGAATCCAGCAGATCTGGGTTCGATGTAATCCAGCAAATAGGTTCCATTGAACCCAGCTCAATTCATTGAACTCAATTGTC